CAACCCCAACCCCAACCACAACCCCAACCCAACCCACAGGAGACGGGGGATCCAACCAAACCAACCCCCGGGACCCAGGGGGGATGGAGACCGCCAACCAAACCCAACCCAACCCAACCACAACCACAACCAACATCCGGCAACCAAGAATTTGGGAAGGTGCCACCAACCCAACCCTTGAATACATCAGGGGACCCAGGAGTCCGGGGATGGAGCCCCAGCCCCACCCGTAGCCCTTCAGGGGGCCCAGGTGTCCGGGCACCCCTCACCTTTGCTCTTGTTCCTCATGGCCGACTTGAGCAGAGCAGCCTTGAGGGCGGCCTTGGTGTCGTCGGAGATGGCGCCGTCCCGCTTGGGCGCCACGGGGGCCCCCGGCTCCGCCTTCACCCGGGGAGAGTCCATTGGGCAGTCAGGGGCAGGGGCGGGGCCAGGGCTCGGCATGTCCACGTCGGCGCAGGGCCAGGCCGGGCCAACACTGGCCACCGTGGCATTGGGCACATTGACATTGCCTGCATTGACATTGGCCATGGCGGCATTGACGTTGGCCATGGCGGCGTTGGCCATGTTGACGTTGCTGTTGGCCATGGTGGCGCTGATGTTGGCCATGGCAGCGTTGGCCCTGTTGACACCGGCCATACTGACGTTGGCCACGTTGACGTTGGCCATGGCAGCACCGGCCACGTTGACACCGGCATTGGCCACGTTGACACTGGAGTTGCCTATGCTGACAGCGGCCATGTTGACGTTGGCCATGTTGACAGTGGAGCTGGCCGCGTTGGCATTGGCCACGTTGACATTGGCGTTGGCCATGTTGACGCTTGTGTTAGCCAGGTTGACATTGCCCACGTTGACGTTAGTTGCGTTGACGCCGACGTTGGCCGCGTTGATATCGCCCATGGGGACGTTAACGTTGGCCATGGCACCGTTGGCCACGTTGACACCAACACCGGCCCCGCTGGCTGCGCTTTCGGCGCTGCCGGCCGGGGCGAAGGCAATTTGCCGCCGGATACCGTCGCGGCGGGCGTGGAAGTCGGCAATCTCAGCCACGATGGCCGCCTTGATCTCCTCCTTGGTGAGTGCCCGACGGTCGAAGGCGAAGTCGAAGGCGGGAACGCACTCGGGCTCGTCCTCGGGGTCGTGGTACTTGGCCAAAAACGGGTGCCGCAGCGCCTCGGCCACCCCCACTCGCTCCCGCGGGTCGAAGCGCAGCATCCGACCCACGACCCAACAGCGCCAGCGCCGCCGGCTCGGCATCGCCGAAGAGGCTCTCCCAAGGCACCGCCGGCCGTGGCGGCAGGCTCTGCACGTACGCCCGCACCCGTTCGGCGCCGATGGCGACCCAACAGCGCCAGCGCCGCCGGCTCGGCATCGCCGAAGAGGCTCTCCCAAGGCACCGCCGGCCGTGGCGGCAGGCTCTGCACGTACGCCCGCACCCGTTCGGCGCCGATGGCATGACGGTGGCTGGCGGCGTTCCCAGCACCGGCCTGATTAGCTGCAGCGAGCTGGTGGACGTAGTTCCTGCCGGGGAAGAGCTGCCGGCGACCCAACATCTCGGCGAAGATGCACCCAACCGACCACATGTCGATGGCGCGGGTGTAGCGGTGGAGCGAGAGCAGCAGCTCCGGCGCCCGGTACCAGCGGGTGGCCACGTACTCGGTGAGGAAGGCCTTGGCGTGCCGCGGGTCAGCCCCCAGCCCCCGGGCCATGCCGAAGTCGCCGATCTTCAGCTCGCAGTTCTCGTTCACCAAGAGATTGCTCGGCTTCAGGTCGCGGTGGAGGACGTTGGCCGAGTGGATGTACTTGAGGCCCCGCAGGAGCTGGTAGAGGAAGTAGCGGACGTGTTCCAGTGTCAACGGCTGCGCCGAGTGGATGATCTGGTGGAGGTCGCTCTCCATCAGGTCCAGCACCACGTAGCTGCAGGCAGGAAGGGGGACCCAGGCGTCCGGGAACGGCTGGAGACGTCCCCATGGGCACCACCCCCGCCCTGCGAACCCGGGTGGGCTCCATCCCGTGTGTCCCGCTGCCCCCCAAGAGGATCCAGGTGTCCGGGGGGGGGGAGGCTGGGAACGTCCCTACGGGGGCCACCACCACCCAATGTCCCCAACTGGGCTCCATCCCACGCGTTCTCCTGCCTCACAAGAGCACCCAGGAGGGGATGGAGACGTCCCTGTGGGGGCCACCACCACCTGATGGACCCAGGCGTCTGGGGGGGAGGTTGGCGGGGGACCCAGGTGTCCGGGGCACGCACACGGAGCGGAACTCGCCGTAAGGGACAGTGGGCTTGAGGATGTCCTTGATGCCGATGATGTTGTCGTGCTTGAAGTGCTTGAGGATCTTCAGCTCCCGCAGGGTCCGCTTGGCGTTGGTCACCACGTCGAAGGCGTTGGGGATCTTCTTGATGGCCACCTGCTGGCCTGACGTCCCGCGGACCCAGGCATCGGGGGGGGGGCTCGTCACCTGCCCCGGCGTCCCCCCGGGTGCCCACCCAAGCACCCAGAAAGGACCCGGGCGGCCGGGAAACCCCCACCCAACGGG